GTGGGTGCAGACTACGATGGATTATCTCGATGATTGGTGATTTACCTTGTGTGCTTTGTTTGAGGGAGGGATTGTTGGGGCAAACAAGTCCCACATCGATTGTGGGAAGAAAATAAATCCAGCATATAACCCAAGTGGGCTACTCCACTCATTACCAATTGGTTTTGGGATGGAACCCCACTTGGGCCTGGTGGTGTGGGCTTAGACCTTAGGTAATTGTTCTCAATAATTCCCTAACATAAGGTAGGTTGGTTTTCCTTCTCTGTGTAGCCCTTAATCAAAATGTTCGAAGTTTCACATACTTTGTTTGGATATGATTGTGGAACTTGAAAAAGAGAAGGGCAATGTGGGAGTAGTTGGAGTGAAGGGTGGGAATTTGTATTCAAAAGAAGAAGTTAGCTTTGAATTTTGGCGAGACCACAATGAGGCCGACGTAATTTTTTCAGAAGAACTCGGCATCTTTTGGTGTGATTAAAATAAAATACATGTAAGTAAGCACATGTAATTGCCAGGGTATTTCTACTCTTTTCAGTCTTGACGGACTTGGAATTTGATCTTTTATGATCATGCTATTGGGTGGCCGTCAAGCCATGTGCTGTATGGTGGGTTTATAATTATTTTTAGAAAACATTGTTTTAATGGAGGAGTTTCAGCTGATTTTTAGTCAATGATAGACAATTTAAGCATTCATGTTTTACAGGTAAGGCTGTAATGTTGGGTTGGGCTATGATGCCATGTTTATTTCAGGGGGCATGGATGTCCTATTATCTAGGTTCTTAAAGACATATGCAAACAGTGGTGTCACTGTTTATTTCTCTTCCGCTGGACTTAGGAGAAGTGTGGGTTTAGAGTTTAAAGAATATACGGACTTCCAAGTCTCTTGACAGTTGGGAATCACTTGGAGGGGTGTGAGAAAGTGTATTTGTGTTCATTCGTTTTCTTTTTTTTTTTTTTAACCCCAACGACAAATTCAAACTGCAGTCTTAAATCTAAAGCAATTGTTAGACAATTTAAGTGCTTGTGACTTTTAAATGCCAAATTGGATCCATCAGTTTGATGCACTGACATAGTAAATATTCTTGGTTCTATGCATGTTTTGCTAAGTACTGTAATTGAATTAGCTTGCTTTTTCCCTAAATATATATATATGAGGAAAATCTTCTTCTTGTTGGATATGTGCTGCCTAACCATCCTGCACCCTTTTTCCCTTGACCGTGGTTCAGTTGCGGTAAGATCGATCGGCCAGCCCCTGGTTTGGTGGCTTCCCGAGGCAAATTTTTTAAGTGATATGGGAATATTGAGAAGTTTGCATGTGTATTAAGTTGCGCTAATATTTTCACCTATATAAGGATATTAGGGGCAAGCTTATTTTCTGGTGGTGTATTGAGAACACATAGAGGCGTGAGATCAGAAAACACTTTAATTGTTCTTCTTCTTTGATATAGGGGGAATCCTGTGGTGGTATCAAGTGGTCATAAACTCTCGCATTGAGGGGAAGCGACCCTAAATATATATTTTTTCCTTGTTTTCGTTTTCTGTTTCATGTTATTTATTGCTCTTGGTATTACGGATTAATCGATTAATCCATAACACTTCTAACATGCACTTCATGTATACATCACTGAGATTTGGGTTGGTGCCTCTGCCTTTCTCCTCTCTGTTAATTGAAAGTGGAAATAAAATCTTGAATGGAAAAGAAACGATCCGTATTTAAATATCTGAATGTTAGATTTTTATTTGAAAAGCCACTTGTATTATGAAATGCTCACCCAGACCAGGACCTTTTTCATACCCACTGGAGATATCCATTCTAAACCTGGTGGAATTTTCTACTAATTTGAAATATCATCTTGTTTGGAATAGTGCTAAATCATATGCTTGTATAGGATAACCCATTTGATATGCTACTATAATGAGTGGGTAACCATACTGAGTTGATTTCATTGTTGGTACCAGGGGGAAATCACATTGCAAGTGACAAACTTTGTTGCTTTAGCTGTTAACACACTCTTTTTTCTTCCTACTACTTAGATTTTGATAATAGGTTGTCTTCTAGTTTCTTATCTACAAATTCACGTAGGCTGAAACAGAGAGAGAATCAGGTGGAAACAAAGGCGTTACAGACAAGCAGATTCGTCTGAAGATTTTTTCACCAAATGTTCTTGATATTACTCTTGTGGATTTGCCGGGGTTAACTAAAGTTCC